TTTTTTTTTTTTCTTCTCCATCTTGCTTTGCTTGACACCTCACCTCGTCAGATGACGCTGAGAGAGAGAGACACGACGTCGCAGCGTATTGGAAGTATAGAGGAGGTGGTGCAGGTGATCAAGGATCTGTGCGATGGAAACATCGATTGGCAAGGCGCTTGTCAGAAGTTGCCTGCTTATTCGGGAGAACAGCAAGTTTGAAGCTGAGAAGGAGTTCAAGGGGGGGAGAAAGCGTCATGGAGAGGTGGCATCGGTTCGTGTGCCCACCCTGTTTGGATACACGGTGCTTCGATGTACCTTTGCGCCACTTCGAGAGACACGAGAAGTTATACGAAAGCGAAATGTGAAACGAAAAATGAATCCATGCGATGGAAAGAATCGATGCGTGCGTTGCAAATTCTGTGTTGCTTTGGTCCATTGCCTTGCGTACAGAGTGTAAAAGAGCCACATGTTGGCGAGGTGCCAAATCTGATTGAATCAGTCTGAATCTTTAATAAAAGTTGGCTTCACTGGTCATATTGCAGGGCGCCGGAGGGGGTGTAGAGTACAGAGGCAGCGTAGAGCAGGCGAGCCTACACGGGGGGCGATGGTGTGCGCAGAACGGGTCAGAGGAACCACGAGATACTGTGATACGCCAACTTCTTTTCCTTTTCGCTTCTCTCTGAGGTGATCGACCTTGTTTTGCTGCAAGTGTAGCTGGAAGCATGAGCTTGTTGAAACCTATCACGGATTCTTGGTCAGCAGGTCTGACGCCGACGCGAGGCGAATGACGGTTAGAGGAGTGATGCCATTGACGTCGTGCTCGGACTGGATCGATGCAGCTTCTTGCGCCCGTCTAATGTGGATGTTCGCCCGCGCGTGCCCCGTCAGGTCTAGGGGGATGGAGAAGAGCCGGACCGTGTCCTTTGTACTGCGCCTTGGCTTGTGGTGGACATGACGATTGAAAGGCCTTCTGAAGAGCGTAGGGAAAGCGAGGTATTGGTTCGCCGCCACGAGCCGTCTGGGAAATTGTCGCTTGCAATGAAGCCAAATCGTTGCATTCGACTGTCACGGTAGAATTGGTGTGACTCGTGATCTCCGTCGTGTTCGTCGACCCGGTCCAGGATGATTGCGATGCGCTCGGGTCTGCAGCTCCCTGCTCCTCGCAGTCCTCCTCTTGCGAGTCAGCATTTTGATCATGTGAGGTGGACCTGTAGGTCAGCTCCTCGTTCATCGCTGACGCTCGCTTGTCCGACTTCGGATGACGATCGTGCTTGGGTTCAAGCTTTGAGCACTTCGATTTCCGCCCCGAATCTGCACTTTGCGGGGCACGATAGCGTCGATGAAGCTCACGGTCCAGCAGATTGCGGGACTCCTGCTGGAAGTTGCGTCGCTGCTGCGCTTGC